CCTACATTGGAAGCGGAATTTCTCCCGACCAGAGCTGGGCAGAATACTTTCAAAAAGTATTTGAATATTAAATAGTAAATACTTTACACAAATCAAAGGTATTTGAATACTAAATACTGTTACGTCCAGCACAAGCGAATACTAGATACAGATACATTGTAAAGTATTCAAATACTTTAAAATGTATTCGAATACTTTCAAAAGTATTCTAATACTATCAAAGGTATTCGAATACTATAAAAAGTATTCAAATACTTTGAAAAGTATTCGAATACAGTAAAAAGTATTCAAATACTTGTCACTCAAATACGCATCAAAATTAATAAGAAAAAGTGTTCCTGAGAAATTTTGGTGTAGTCGATTTTTGGTAAAAAAGGAAGGTTATATACACTGCCTTTTTTTGAGGCCCGAAAAAAAAATGGCTCAGATCGACCCGGAAAAAAAATTTCTTATAGAATGTGGCCTGTAGAATCCATAATTTCAAACAGTTCCAAGATTGGGCTACTCCGGCTACTAGTTCAAAAGTTACAGCCCTTTGAATTTTCTTTCGAACTTGGTTTCTAGTCTATAACTTTTGATTGAGAAGTCTGATCGAAAAAGTACGAATTGTTTTGGATTCTACGCACCAAAATTAATAAGAGGAAGTTTTTTCCCGAGAAATTTTGATGCAGTCGACTTTTGGTAAAAAAGGAAGGTTATACACACCAAAACGTCTCTCACTCTCTCTTCCTTTCTTGCCGAGTCTGGACTGGTCTGGCCTGGCCGGGTCGGCTCTAGTGGCCAGATCGACTCCGCTCCCAATGTAGGAGTAACCTTAGAGTGTTTAATAATAATATAATAATAATAATAATAATCAATTAATCAATGGCCACACTTTTTACGTTTTAGTTTCTTGTGAAAAAAATCAATTCGTATCCACGTTTTTGTAAATATGAAGTGCCATATCGTCACAAGCCCGTAAGTAGAATGAAGTGTCCACAACTAGCGTTAGGATGCCAAAAAGACACTCTGAAAAAATTTCAGCAAAATCTATCAAATACTTTCAAAAATATACGTAGTTCAATACTTATAAGTTTTATAACCAAAGGGATCATTAGAGAGAACATTTAGGGCTGTAGCCAAAAGAAGGGCGGGAGAGGGAGCCTCTCCCCGCATCTTATGCGGGAGTTGGCATTTTTATCCTTATGTGGTTGTTGGTATTTTAGAGGCTAGAAATCATTATAACACCATCATCATCCAGAGCAGTGGTTCCCAAACTCACAAAATTAAAATTTCTCACCCCCCCCCCTCCCATCCTGATTAAAAAATAAAAACTGCTGCTACTGCAAACCAAACGTGCACCCACTCCTGGGTAATCACTTCCAGCGTGCTCATTAAAATAAATTCTCGGTGCGTTCACAAATAAAAAAAAAAACCTTGAGGGAGTTTGTCTTTAATAAATCCAAAATTGTTAAGTATCATTAATGACAATAATTAATTTTCAAATTATTAATACGGGCCAAAAGCATGCTTCCAGACTCTGCATTAAAGTACAAAGTTTGATGTAAAAAAAATTAGATATTGTAAAACCTCGATTATCTGACCCATAAATGACTTGCAGAAGTGGAAGTAGGTAGATGTTCTTGGTTATGTACGCAGTAATCAATTGCCCGACTCACCCATGACAAGTTTAAAGCTGGTTCTTTAAGGGTGATTACTTTTCCAACAGTTGTGGTACCCAAAACAGGTAGCTACGGCTATATCGTGACTGTATATTTGGTGTAGCGGTAGATAAGTTTAAAACCCAGTCGCTTTCTAAATGCCCTAATAACAAAATCCAGAATGACCTAATGAATTATTTATTTGATTTGACTTACCCTTCAGAAGAAGAGGCGAAAATTAACTTAAATTAAGTAGCAATACACTGAAATGCTACAAACGTTTATTAAAAAATTATAGGGTGAGTTTTTTTTTCATTTTTATTATGGGGACTCGGAAACCGTAAGAGATACAAAACCGCTTAAATGGGCCAAGTTATGCAGGTGGTGATTATTTTCCCTTTTTGTAGGTGTACAAATAGCGAAGTTATGGCAAAAAAAACCGAGAAATGTGTCATTTTCGAGAATGCGTTGGCCTGTTGGTATCCATTTAATTTCAAAGATACGGTACTGAGAACATTGGTACAAAATTTCAGCCAAATTGGTCTTCTTATATCAAAATTGAAAGCTCATAAAATTTTCTACAACTTGTGTGATTTTTAGTGCAGAATAATGATGTTTCAAAGGTAAAAAACCCAATAATGTATTTTTTTCCAACGTACTGTGCTATTTCCTACCTAGATTTTCCGAATCTGAGTTTAGAAGGGCACTTTCATATCGAGAACTGGAAGCAATTCTCGAGGATGCCAATTTTGACAACGTAGACGAAATAGATGCTGTTTATATACCACCCACGGTCGATAGCCTCACCGATGAGGAGGATCTAGAGATCTAGACGATAACCTTCTTCAAGAGGAAGCAATCGCAACTGACATTACAGGAGCATTTGAAGTTCATGCCACGTTCCAAGCAGAAAGTTACACCCCAACTGAGGCAGTTGTAGAGCCATCTACTGGTATGGGTAAGAAGAGGAAGGGGACATAAAATTAAAGGTTGGTGGCAATACTCCCTTTAAAGTGTTTTCTTTATTTTTTGATAACGCCCTATTGAATCAAATAATTGCATATAGCCACGCACGATTATAAGGTTTCTGCTGCTCAGTTGCAAAAATTCATGGGAATTTTAATTCTAAGTGGATATCTTTCACTTCCGGCTTCCGATATGTATTAATAATAATAATACTTTATTAGTGTAGTTTATCACAAGATATTTACACAAGTCAAATTATAATAATAGAAAACTTAATAAACAATTATAAAAATTTAATTTCGAAATATTGATCAATGAAATATAGAGGATTACTTATCAGAGTTTCTTATATGGATTTTTTAAATAAGTTTGTCTTGAGACTCTGTATATCAATGGCGGCTCGTCAGGGGAATTGTTTTGGATTCTACGCACCAAAATTAATAAGAGAAAGTGTTTTCCCGAGAAATTTTGGTGCAGTCGATTTTTGGTTAAAAAGGAAGGTTATACACTGCCTTTTTTTTAGGGCCTCAAAAAAAAATTGTCTCAGATCGACCCGGAAAAATTTTTTTTTATAGAACGTGGCCTGTAGAATCCATAATTTCAAACAGTTCCAAGATTGGGCTACTAGTTCAAGAGTTACAGCCCTTTGAATTTTTTTCGAAATTGGTTTCTAGTCTATAACTTTTGATTGAGAAGTCTGACCGAAAAAGTACGAATTGTTTTGGATTTTTTTTTGCCTAAAAAAAATTGGCACAGATCGACCCGGAATCTTTCTCGATCGCGCCGGAAGTTCGAGGTCGATACTATGGGGTTGAGCCCCCTTCGTCGCAACGGTACTGGGTCCCGCTGATCCGGCGAAGCTCTCTCCCTTACCTGGCCCAGCGGAAGCAGCACTGAAAGTTATGTGCCTCTGTAGTGCCTGATAGGATGCCTCATCGACATCAAATGCGAGGAGAACCCTCCCTGCGGTAGAACGTCCTCCATAGACTCGTCCTGAAACCAGGATTTTGCCTATGGAAACGCTTCGAGATGATGGCCGTGTTCTCCGAGGGCCCGTACAACACAGCCATCACCTTGGTTACTCTAGGGACGTGCCTCTGAACTTTCAGAGACGCTCCATCTCAGGGCTTAATAAGAGGAACAGTCCTCTTGAACCAGTCCAAGGTCTTCTGGCACTCTGCGGATTCCAGCGGACATCTGCCAGCCGAGGAAAGGGCCCTCCATCCTGTCGACAACTGCATTCAATGCAGCCATAATACACTTCGACTCAGGCTCAGTGATGTCCATCTCAGGGTGTGATACTGGAGTGGTCACCCTGAGCCCCGCCGCAGTGTATATGCTTTTTGTATTTTTATTAAATAACTGTTCTGGCTTATTTTGCTGCAAATGCAAATGCATCGCTTAATGATAATCAAAGAGAAATTTAATTTGTTACAAGAGGTGACTAAAGCAAGGAATATCTCGGAAACCGTTTGAAGCAACCTTTATCATTTTGTATCAAATTAAAGGTCTCGGAAAAGGAAAACAACAGTGAAGAAAAAAACGGGGGTTGCCGTTTGAAAAAATGGTTACGGCGCCATTTTAGTGCAATTCATCATGTGCGAAAACCTTATCAGTTTAGTTTCATTTTCAAAGGTTCTCCATATCTTTCTAACTGACGCTCGCCAAGAATGACCCTGCATAAGAAACAGGAGCGGCCCTAGGACAGAACCTTGGGGAACTCCTTGTTTTAAGAGACCACCTTGCAATCTGTAATGTAGATGAGCACAGGGCGTCTAAGTCGGTGCATGAGATTGTGTATCACCCTGAGCCCACGGCACCTAATAATCCGGAGGGCATTACGTAAATTCAGACGAAACTGAAATAGATAATGCAGGAACAAAAACTTATATCGCATGTTGTAACGAGGTAAAAGACAATTTTCTATTGAAATGCTTTTCATTTGGACGGATGGTGCGAATTTTTGCATTGATTAGACGTTTTATTTTACATTGTCCTGAAAATCTGAATCTTTACAAGATTGAAAGAGAGCTTCAAGAAGGTCCAGAAAGTTAGCCACCGATATAAAGCACAAGGAAACCGGCCACACCTACGGTTCAGAAGATATAAAGCCCCAAAGTTAGAGACCGGAAGTTAGCCACAGCTTTTCCATTAATTTAGTACAAATATCGTGTTCTGGCAGAATCCTTATAGTGTTTCACTAGTACTATGCGATCAAAAATGAGGTGCTGTCGAGTCACCTTTGGAATTTTTGTTTACATGATAAATCGCGCTTAACTTTAATTTCCAAAGGCAACTCGACAGCAACTCATTTTTGATCGCCCGTTATTCATTTTTTTATTTAGCCCTCTATGTTACTCTGTATTCGAATGAAGTTTCGGTACTCGTAATTTATTAAGAAGTTCGTCTATATACAAAATTAGACTTCTCTACGCTTAAGGAATGTAGGAAATTCTCTCGTTCTTCTCTATATCGAGCCTTTAACAGGTATTCGCCGGCCAACTCGTTTCCCGTCATTGTATACTTCTGAGCCGCCCTTTGGCTCTTCTCCAGAAATTCAACGGACTGATTTAAAAGCGCCCTGCGCCCATCACGAAGTTCAAGGCAATCGGATTGTACAGTTTCGAATGTTTCCGTTGAGGTCATCTTCAACATACGTAAAGCAGAGAGAAGCCTTTTAAGTGTACTCGATGATCTCCACTCTGCTTGATTTTGTGTGCCATTGGAATGGCAGGGTAACAATTTCAGTAGCAAATCTGTCAAACTTGGTATGTAAGGTGCTGACTGCGATTTTTGGAGGAACACCCGCTGATAAGCTGAAAGTCGAGGGTCTCTGTACAGGCGGCACATGCACTCAAAAACTCTGAAAGAGTAAACTGCTGTATCAGATTAACTCGCGTAACTCTTACTGGTATTTGGTCGAGTGCCTTTTGCGTACGTAACCCCACGTTCTATGCAATCTGTAAACCGCCGGGCTCTGCAGACCACACAAAATGCTTCTGCATGATTGAAAATTGGACAATTTGTGACACTTTTCGGCTGCATTTATTAATCTGCTGATCATCCTAGCCCTTATCTAAAAATTGGTCGTTATTTTTCCTCGTAAGCGCATCATACTTTCTCTGTGTCGTCTCGCAAAACCTCGGTGGCCACTAAACAGCTTATCCTATGCGAAAACGCTTCAAAGGCTCCGATGTTCGGTGCACTTTTTGATGTCTGTTTCCAAATTATCACGCTTAGTTCAGCTGGGGTTATTTTCAGAAATAGATCGCGATCTATTATTGTAAGCTGGCACGTTAGGGTTGTTGAGTCAAAGTCCCACGATGTGAGGTTGATGTTTAATTGTAAAAGTCTCCTCAAATATTGCACGGATGTTTCATCTGACAAGCGTAAAAGTGACAAAAAAACTGGGGCTTACTGAAAGTTACCTCTTGCAGATGTACTCGATGTCTGTGTCGCAGAGTTGGTGTCCTCGTCGGTGTCATACCTCCTCTCCATACAAAGAAATCCCTTTTTAAAACCAAGGTTCCGTCTTCTCCTACCTTTCTTGCGTTGGCAACTTTGCCGAACCTTCCTCAAATGCTCGGTTAACTCTTGATACGCGTCCCTTGCCGACCTGGGCCTGTACCAATAATCCGGAGTCCAAAAGAATACAACGGGCGTTTTCAGAGACGTCCAAGACTTTGCCACACGACCGTCCAAATGCAGTGCCTCGCAGGATATCGACGAGACCAGCTGCCTTTTCGATATTGACAATCGCAGCTCCGGTTCGGCGGGTTGTCGCCTTGTTCTGACGGCGGATACTGCTCGTTTCACCTGTAAAGAATTGGGGATGGTAATATGGGGATGGTAATACGGAAGGGGTGTACTTGCACAGAGAACCTTTCACCTTGCGAAATGCCCCACGGTCCCAAACCGTAAAGAAAATGTGGTTGAGGTGCAATGCCGTAGCGACGCCGGTGCCGGTTGACTTGCGTAACGTTTCTGGATGATTCCCAAAACAGGACTGCATTTTCTGCCAAACGAGTGTAGTCAGTTTCGTTGTCGAGGGACTGAAAGGATTGCTCTGATTATTTAACCTTTAGAACTTTTTAGCTCCAAAATAGGTATAAGAACTCTCACCTCCCCTACTGTCGCTTAAAATGTACAACCCCAGTGTAACGTGATAAAAAAAATCATGTGTACGTAGTTGATCAAAAGAACAGAAAACGAAATAGTGAATAATTAAGTAGGTAGGTATCTTTTAGTATCGCGCTCTATCTTAAATGACGCTCTTTCAAAATTTGTGCTGTACAGAGGTGCCGCTGCATTCAATGATTTATTTAGCAATTAGGGGACGTTGCAACTTGGGCGAATACAATTTTTAGCATTCCAGTTCCCATGGAGACGATGAGTAATGAGCCGCGTAAAGATTTTGAGATTGCCACACATTGTTATATATGCGGGAAACCTTTCGTGATGGGGGACATTCGCTGTAGGGATCATCTTGAAGGGGGAGGGCTCTATCTAACCTAAATTTAAAATTGTACGTACGACACTGTTTAAAGTTGGTTAAAGTTAATCGCGTTTTACGTTTCAAGCAATCACCGTGGCTTCCTGCGTACGTCCATTTAACTGCTCGTATGAGAGAGCAGGTGAAAAATGAATTCAAAAATACACTTTGTTAAATTGATGGTCAAGAGTGTATTTGAAAAATGAATGGAGAACGTAAGAAAGTATAGGGATGTGCGTCTAGTAATGAAATGGGACGGCCGGTATGGGGCGCGTGCATTAGTTGCAAAACCAAATTTTCACAGTCGCACCTTTCTCGATAACCACATGGTCATTAATGAAATGAATCGATTAGAGGTGTTCCTTAACAAAGCAATTGCAGGTTTCTCCAAAACGTTCCTTTACAATTTCCATTACTAAACTGATATACTGATTTTTTAAAATGTACGTTTAATGAAAATAATAGAACAGGAACAAATTACATATATAAGAACGGGGTTTTAAAACATAGTCAATGTAATCAAAAGAATCACAAGAAAAAGGTAAGGTTCCTAAAATGCATTCGGCATTGCCTATACTGATAAATACAGGGTGGCCCACTGAAAACCGTCAATGCCAATTTTGCCCACTTAACGACAGTTTTGACAGAAACGCTCGAACACGTCAATTTTAGTTTTGAGGGGGACACCTAAATTGAGTAATACTATTTACATAACTTTAACCCTGAGAAGGGAGTGAATCGCACCCCAAAAATTTTAAATGGGAAGGGGATAGGTCGAAAGGAATGTTCATTATGTTTTTATTTTTCAAATTCGATCAGTAGGTCCAAAGAAAACTTGATTTAAATGGATTTGCAAAGCCGTTTTAAATGTTTATTAAGTAGGCGTTGAAGTTGAAATAATTGAGAGCTTGTGTCAGAAAAGAACATCTGTCATAAGTGTAATAAGTGCACAAGCAATGAAGCGAATTTGTGATTCACTTGTTTAATTTTGTGGTAAATTCAAAAACAATGATGGTTTACACCTCGGTTTACACTATAGCGCAAGGGGTGGAAATTGTTTCGCTTTTTTTTAAATGGCGATTCTGCCTTCACAAATTCGCTTCCTTGCTTGTGCACTTATTGCATTTACGTCAGATGTTCTTTTCTGACACAAGCTCTCAATTATTTCAACTGCTGCTGAGATTCCTAAATTAATAAAATAATGTCTTTACTGAGATTTTTTTTAATTGTAGCAGCTGCCGGACGGATCTTGAGAAATTTATAATCCAGTTTATTTAATTGAGCTAGCTGGACAGATGGGGGGGGGGGATGACCGTTTCTGAACTAAATAAGTCCGTTCGTCTGTTGGTTCAACTTTCAGCATGATCGACATTTGTATTAAAGTTTTGTTCTTTTGATTGTTGCACGTATTCGGTATCCAACACGTTCTCCATAGAGCGTAACAGTAACATTATGATTAAATAGGACGAGATTCAAGTAGGTATGTAACACTGTTGGGGAACTACTCTTTTGTTTTTGAGCTATGGGCAAAATTTGCATTTTTTTGATTTTTAGATAAAAGTCTAAAATTTCTTTGTTTATTAAGTTATTGGAAATGTGTTTATCATAAAAGTTTCTTTGCAATGATTGTTGCATAATCTGCTGCTTTCAAAGTAAGTATACGGGGTCCTGTCCTGAACAGCTGTCACATGTAATATATACTCCCCAACTTAATGCCAACCTTTCCCCTTTTTATTTGAATGGATTCAATTTGAAAAAAATAAAAAGAAATGTTTAAAATATTAAAAAAATTCAAAAATTGTGTACAATTTATATTTTTTTATTTTTTATTTTTTTAATGAATCTTTTTTGAATTTTTTTGAATCGCTTGAATCTTTTTTTTTCAATTTCATCTTGGTGTATTATAGTTTTTAAACGACAATTTAGTATACTGTCTGTTTAGATTAAAATATACAGGGTGTTCCATTTCAAAAAATGAAGTGAGGTCAGATAACTTTTCTGACCTCGTAAACTCACTTTGAAAATGAGATCTCTTTTTTGGCTTCCCAGAGGGCAGATAATCTTTTCACTGTTGGTATCGGTCTTATGATATTTAGTGTACTGAATTAGCACCGAATTAAGTGCTAATTACTTTTGTTATCGTTCTTAAAAGTGGGATTCTGCTCAGTAGGCGTGTAGATATGCTATAATTCCTCAACTAATTACGAATTAGTGCACTAAATTGAAAACTAATTCGATTTCTGTTTTGAAGGTACCAGTGGCGTAGCTAGGTAGGTGCCAAAGGTGCCGCGGCACCGCGCTCTGAATGGGGGAGGGCGCGCCGGAGGCGCTGAAGCACCGACGGCACTAAGTCGGGATGGGCAGTACGTGGTGTACCGTATAGGCCAGTTCTAAAATACAAGAACGGCAGTTAAATTCTAATACTTTGCTAAAGTCGACTACAGGGTGCACTGAAATATAATTACAACTAATTTTATTTGTTGTATTTTAATTGTTAAAAAGTAAAAAGTTATCAAAGTCTTTGTGTGAGATGTAAGGGATTTCAGCGCATTTTGTGTGGCAGATCAGTACTTTTATTAACCACAATCATAAGATTTTGTCAGGGGCTACCATATTCCCTTTGTCGGTACCCTCCTCCGACATCCCGTTCGCCCGGAATTCGCGTTTGAAGTTTTGACCCCACATTTAGTAAGATCTTGTCGAGAGCTACCACACTCCCTTTTTCGGTACCCGCTTCCAACGCCCCTACAGACGGCGGATGTATACACAGTTTGAATCAAAACACTTGTACCACGCTATCTTAAGTGCCTCAATATGAAAGGCGACTGTGTTGAAAAATAGCCTAAGATTGTAGCTTCCAAATGTATATAATAAAAGTTGTTTCTTACACTTTCTTAATTTTTTATTTCAAAACGTCTGTTACTTTCGGGATGGCCCTTGTAGTACAAAGTTACAGCGGTAGGAAAAAGCTGCAGATTTAAAATAATAATAATAATAATAATACTTTATTTGTGATCTATACAATATAGTCTGTATTAGTGTAACCACCATTTGCACGCAATCATTTCTACGACTTGTGCCCGATGCCATAGTTAAATTTGACGCGAGAATTGGAAACACTATAAATAAATGTATTTCTATTCTTCATGCAGTGAAAGATTTCGTTATTCAAAGCATCTTTCTAAAATTTAAGTATGCAAAATTTGTGTGTAAAGTTTCTCTCAAAAATGTACCGTGTTTTATTAATTAGAGCGCAATGGTAACTGATCAGGCGCCAAAATCTGGTAGGGCGCCAAAACCTGATCCGGCACCGCTTCGAAAAATACCTAGTTACGCCACTGGAAGGTACCACTCTGCTAGCTACGTGGACATATCAAAATGCCTTGAGAGGGCTGATGGACCTACCTGCGTTGTCGATACGGTACCTTCGGTCGAACTTTCAGTTTTTAAGTACAAACCCGACTTGCAATTGTCAAGAATGCCTGAACCGAAACGATTTATTGCGCCAATCTGGTGCCTGGGCACGAGTTGCTTTAGAGCCTCAACGTTGCGTCGATTTCTGGATCTAACTTGACTTTAGATAGAAGCCTTTGCAAGGTTATACCTACTTAGGTTGGGAAGGCTCGCGTATAAACTCGGAGGTGGTAGGGGGATCGGTGTGAGGAGTATAATTCGTAGGTGGCTCGCTAAGTTGATCCCCCATGTATAAATAGCGGTCGGTCCATTTGGGCGCAACTGGCTGTAAGCAATCTGATTACTGGCCAAGCTTAAACAATCTGATTACGTTTCCATATCCGAATTTACACCACAACTGGTGAAGTCCAGCTTCGTTTACGCCTCTTTTGGTGTCCAACAAATACAAAGTGCTATTTGACGTGGACGTTGCCACCGAAGTCTCAGAACGAGACGATCCAGGATCTTCGGGATTCAAAAACGTGACGCGCTCGCACCAGAGATTCCAAAACATCTTAAACACTAATGTCAGATAAGAAAGACTGGCGTGCTACCGCTTACACGTTTCGCTTTACTAGTCCCCCTAGCTCAAAGTACAGAATGCGATCAGTACAAAAATGCGCCTTCAACGTTTGTCGCTTTCTGCGATGGAAAACGCTTAAATTAACGCACTCAATCGGATAGACCGCTACCAATTCAAACGTCTCAATATCTGGGTCCACCCCTGGTAGGTAAGTCACGTCTAGCATACTTACTGGTGGCAACACGTCGGCCGCTAAGATTAACTTCGTGGGTGTTAGTCCCAAGTGTACTTGCCTAATCCCTTTCCCATCCCTTGTGGTTTGTGCGAACGGACTTTCTACTAGGACCATGTCTTCAAAATCGCAATAATCGGAAAATAACAATTTCTGAATGCGGTTGATCGACATACTCGGGGGTGAAACAATACATTTTGCACAATTTCGGTATTGCGAACTTTATGACATTACAATTAGTTACACTAAGTTGACATTTAATTGACAAAATAACAATAAGCGAATAACAGTGACGTAATAAAAATAGTTATAATCACAAATAAGAGTAATATACACATGTTTTGCACTTTGTGATGGGTTTTCGTTTAGGCCTGCAGCAGTTGATCGTTTATGACTGTTGGCCTGAAAAAAACCGTCGTTAATGGGGAGTTATACTGAAGGGGATGGTGTGTAGGAAAGAGAATATTTACATAGGAGAGAAGTACAACTGAACATCTTACATCTCCCCGAATGTAATGCTCTTCTGCTGAACTAATGGTTTATGATTCGAATTGTGGAAAGTGTGATTACCATTCCCATTCTTCAAGATACCATTGGGGACGTCCGCCTTCTTCTCCATTGAGCATATGTTAATGGTGACGCGATTTGACTTGTTACTAGTATCCTGTAGTTTAAAGTTGCTTTCTGGCAATTTGTTTGCGTTGTTTAGTGATATTGTTACCGATCCATTTGTCTGTGGCTGAATTTGTTGATTATTGAGAAGGTTTTCCTGGAATCGTACAATACAGACATTAATCTCAAATTGGGATGGAAATGTGAATCAATAAAAGTCGATGCTGTCTGAGTTTGAGTAAATAAATTAAATAAAATAGCAAACGATCTCCTGGGTATGAGATGTCAAAAGGGCCTTGCTTATTTTTTGATTTACACTGCCAATTCACGAGCTCCCATCTAGCAGATGTATCACATGTTCATGCTGAACATCTGAACTTCGCCCTCTTAGGCTTCTGGCTACAATATAGTTTTTTTTTTACCGTTTATATTGCTTTATGTTATTTTAGAAGTCTAATAAATGGCACTTATTATTATTATTATTACAAATTTGATAAAGAATTCACCTGAAAAATTTCATCGTAATCGGTACATTCGTTTTCGACGAACAAACAGGCGGACAGACACGTCAACCAAGACATGGAAACCCCGTAACACAACGTTTTAATGTCTTTCTCAACGGTTTTAGTTTTTATCTTTTTTTCTTTACTTTAGTTGTTTCTCTTTTTGGTACCTATATATACCATATAGCCGAGGGGTAGAACACTTCTTAAATAAATAAATAAATGTATCCGCGCATTAAATAGGTATATTTAAAAATAAACTCGCAAACGGTTTCAAATTTTCCAAATTATATTTTCAGTAATATGTAGATAATGTACAAGGGGCTAACTGGTTCAATTTTGATCATTTTCTCTGTCTGTCTGTGAACATGATAACTCGCGAGCGGTTTCGAATTTTCCAATTATGTTTTCAGTAATAGGGAGATAACGGTCAAGGGACTAACTGGTTCAATTTTGATCATTTTCACTGTCTGTCTGCCCGTCTGTGAACATGATAACTCGCGAACGGTTTCGAAATTTCGAATTCGCTTTGCAGTAATAGATAGACAATGGTCAAGGGAATAGCTAATTCAATTTTGGTCATTTTTACATTCTGTCCGTCCGTCTGTGTACATTATAACTCGCTAACGGTTTTGAATTTTCCAATTCTGTTTTCAGTAATAGGTAAATAATGGTCAAAGGGACTATATGATTCAATTTTGATCATTTGGACTTTCAGTTCGCCCGTCTGTGTTTGTCACTTGTCTAGATTGGTCTGAACAGTTTATTATTTGATTCATATTTTCGAGAATATTTTACAGTGAATGGCAGCGGCATTTAGTTTATGTTACGGATTAGGATATAGGAAAAATTTCCAAAATTTTAGGCAACGATTTATTACATGTGAATTTGTTAAAAGAAAGCCGTTGGAGAGCATCCACTGGTCTAAATCTACAGATATTTTTAAAGAGAAGGATATTTTAATGAAAAAAGTTCTACACCATCTAGTGATTCAACAAAATCCTAAAAGATTAATAAAAAGAATTAAAAAGACAAAAAAATACAAAAAAATTTGAATTTTTTTTATTTATTTAAAAATCCTTAGAATATTTTTGAACCAATATTTAATTTTTTGAATTCTTTAGTATTAAATTTGTGGAAAAATAATTTACGCTATATTTTTAGAATAAAGGATAGAGGGCGTTACATAAAAAAAAATTAGATTAGGTCCGATAACTTTTTTACTTGACCCCGTATAGGTACCTACTTATAAAACTTAACTTAAAACGGAAGATTATTTAACAATCATAAAGAAACCTTTGTAATAAATATTTTTCTGCAGATCTTTTAATTAACAAAATATGGGGTCATTTTGAAATTAGAAAATCCCCCCTCCCCACAGATGGCGATGTGAAAACTGCATTGTAAATATCTCGAAAATGTTGGAGGAGAATATCTACAAAGAAAAAAACAATATTTCGGAGAATTTCGTTTTTAAACAAATTAAAAAAAACATTTGATGTATTTTTTTGATAGTTAAAATTTTTTGGATTCTTTTTTGAATTATTTTGAATCTGAATCTTTTTTAATATCATCCCTGGCGTGCGATAGGTTTTAAAAGAGAATTTAATATGCTGTCTATTTAGATTAAAAATAGATTAAAAAATTAAAATACACACGGTGTTCCATTAAAAAAAAGCGAGGTTAGGTATGATAACTGTTTTACTTGACCCTGTATATTTATTTTGAAAACGTTACATTATGGAAAAAATCATTTGCAATAGACAGATTTACGGTAAACTTATTAATAAATAAAGAATTTATATGATTTTCTCTAAAAATCGAAAAATGTAACTCTTGCCCGTAACTGAAAAACAAAACAAAAACAAAAGCTAGTTTGATTTTCCACATCGAGTTTATCTAAAAAAAAACACCAAGAGTAACAAAAAGAATTAACAAAATTTAAGGTTCCAATGATATAAAAAATACAAGATATTAAGTCCCTTGAATCTTTTTGAACTAATATTGAATTTTTTAAATTTTTTTAGTGTTATATTTTTGGAAAGATAATTTAATAGGCTCTTTTTAGAATAAAATATACAGGGCGGTCCACTAAAAAAATTAGATTAGGCGCGATAACTTTTTTACTTGACCCCGTATATTTACGTGTACGCAAAATTGTATCATTTCTCACATGAAGTAACATCGATATTTATTATATGTCTAACTCTTCTAATCAACGAATTTTCATATATACAAATACTCTGGCTCCATTTGAAAGGTCAGGTAATTTATCTTACTGATTTATATATTAGCTGCAATTCAAAATTTTAAATGACATCTACCATATTTGTATTAAATATTCTGAAACCGTACAAAATTCTATTTCCAACGATACATCACATGTTATAGTTATTATTTAATTATATAAAAACGTAAATCGATAATTATGTAACAAATGCATCCAAATTTCAATAGATATCGAGACACCATGACGGATTAGTCATAGGTGATAATGAACAGAGGTGGATGTGACGCAATCCCTCCGAGAAATATGACGTGCTTGTTCGAGAAGATGTCTTCGGACGCGCTCGAGATCTTTTGAGAAAGAGAAGGCGTTTGTAATATAAGTAAACGAATTGCGTTTCAGTTTAGTTCTAATTTCGACGACGAAGTAATAAATAGTTTGCGCTTTCGTTGTAATTAAATTGACGTTACAGTATTATTTTCATCTTAACTATCGCGAAATGAGCGATAATCATTATAATGATGGAAAAATGGATAAGTATCCTAAAGATTTCATTTGTTTCCTCGCCTACTTTTGCTAATAAAGCTCTATTCTACCGTCTACGCTCTACAAGTAAGCGTGCATTTGAAGTTTAATTATCAATTTACTTTTTAATTGATTATACAGGGTGTAAACAGAACTAGGGAATGCGATTTTTCTCAGAAGTTAAGACATGCAAAAAAAATCTTTCAAACAAAATTGTTAGCGTTTCTAGTGAGACATATTTGAGATTAAGTGGTACAGCGGAGAAGAGCAATTGCAATAAACAATTGAAGAATGGTAAGCCTTCATCGTAAGCAAAATCTCCAGTGGAGAGTTGAATCATATGTTTCAGCAATGGCATACTTCCAAAGCCATTTGGATATTGGCTGATATAACTACGAACAAAAGCTACCACGACATACTATGATCTTCGTAAATAGTATCCCTAACCAGATTTAGACCAATAATCTTACCATGGATTCCGTTCGCCTTCTCAAATTGGACCTTCGTAACGTGTGCGCCAATTCCGACGCGAATTGAGTAGTAATCGACTCATTTGGACCTCCGTCGCCATTGCCGTTCTGTAAGAAGTCCAACTTTCCGGGCTGTCTTCTCAAGCTGCCCGATGGGTACTCGCCAATTGTCACGCTGACGGGACGCTGCTTTTTAGTCGATAGCGTGCTGGTGGTGGATCCATTGGATAATCGAGAACCGAGGGGTGGTTTATTGAAGAACGTGTTTGGGGGTTTCGGCGGTTGACTGTTTGGATTAGTTAAGGTGTAGGATTCTAGAGATTCCATTTCGACTAAGTCGTTCTGACTAGGATTTGCGGAATTAATGCTAAGCGTGTCGTAGTCGGGGGTCGGGCATGGCGGTGGTTGATGGTAGTCGTCTTTCGCGAACGAGAGGGTTGAATACTTGGCAGGAACTGGCGGTGGCGTTTTGGGTTTCGGTTGCGGCCGTGAATTTGTACCATTATCAAATGGGGGCTGCAATTGCAAATGAGTTAATTGGGAACTCGAATTTCTTATATTTACCGGAGGGGGTGGCGGAGGTGGTGTTAATTCCGCTTCAGGGGTTTGTCTGGTTAATGACTTCTCCTGTGGGGCTTCTTGTCGCTTCACGCTTTTGGGCGGTGCATATCTGTCCTGTAAAATTACTCAGGTTATCAATTGAAATTAACGTTAATTGCGCAAGGAGATAAGAGACAACTAATATTGTTCGATGATAAGAAAAACTGTATTCGTGTAGGTGAGATCAGAAGTTTTTTGCGTAAATAGGTACCCATAAAAAACTTACTTCGTAACATTGTATTACAACCAGCGGTTTGAACTTTGCCTTGTTGTCCATTAGATTAATTACAACACAATTGCAAATTTATATAAAAAAAGTAAAATTAAAACACTCTCATTTCGCCCGAAACACGCGAAATCGACTGGCGGAACTCGGATAAGGAACTGCTCGCTGCTCGCTTTTGCATTTTACTATTACACAACAATGACGTTTTATTGAAATTGTTGATTATAAAACATTCCCGTGTATTGTTTCGTTATAAACTCACTTATTAAAGATGTGACGATAGATGATTATTATAACTATTAGGAATTACTCAAACATGCGCTCCTTTATTAACAATTTATAACGGAGATACCCGAATATTCCTTCGCGTATGTTTAATTTGTTGTGATAATTGTTTATAGGTGATACATCGCCAATATCATCGTATAGCAACGATAACCCCTTTGGCATAAGTGCTTACGAGATTACCTGGGGAAGGTCGCGCAATGGTATGTGCAATGGGCATAGGTAAATGTAAATATTGGGCAAAGGCTTACTCAGCTTATTTTAACATCATTTGCTTATGTAAGACTTATTGTTATACTATTTGATGCGATTTTAATGAGTCGGGTTTGTGTTTTATTACTTTGTTAATTGAATCGCCCGAAGCGGAAGATTTTGACCTTAACAAACTGACAAATAGCCAAACATCTTGACTTTGGTATCACTTAGAGTTTTCCACAACCGCAAAACTGAAGTTTAACCGAGATTTGTAATTTGATAAATTGTTTTGAAGGTTGAAGTGTGTAAAGTAACAACTTTTCACACGCTGCTTGAAAGTGCTATTTTTTAAAGAAATTTTGGGATAAATATAAAGATGAGGTTAAGTGGAAGAGCAGCACCTGCGTGTGCATGCACTTCGCCTCTTATTATGCAGTTAATCATGTATATCTCACAAATTTATTTAAATAAAGGCATTTATTATTCAAATACTTTACTTACTTTTTTCAAGTGTTCCATACCCAGTTTAAAAAATCTTCAGAGACAATAATCATAGGTCAATTATTCAAGTAAGGCGATCCATAGTTTTGACGGTATTGGAAAAAAAACCAAAATACCCTTCATCGCTTCATGTAAAATAGCTACAGTGCCATACAACCAGCACAAAGAAGTCAAACCATAATACTTCAAGGTTTCATTATTATAAATTATTAATAGCAATACAATCTTCAGCGCGAGTCGTAGGAATAATGAACAACGCGTTTAAAAAGCATAATGGTCCGTGACACCAAGTCGCCATACTCGTGAGAAAACTGCTTGTTTCAAAACCTGCTACAATATGCTATTACCACATCGTTAATATTGAAATGAGCTTCAAATGTTTTTCGTTTTCGATTTTCACATTTTTTGTCTCCAGCCTACTTAGAAATACTCAAAATTGTACTCGCCATTTTCGAGATCTGATCATACATCTGAGGATTGGCAAAGGAAGGCTGTGTTAAGTGTTGCCTAGGTGCCTACCAAATTTCGCATTAAAAGGAACTTTCCAGGCTTTGATTTAGATGACTTTCCACGTTGTCTTCCAACGTGGCACAATGGAAGGTATTAACATGCAGTACCTCGTTTGAAATAGGACCCTTCTCCTTTGAAAAATCAACCACAAAAAAAACTATCCGTTTTAACGAGAGTATACAGGGTGTTTTTTTGGGAGCTTTAGTTAAAAGTTTCTGGGAAAGTAAAATAGGTAGGTTTTTGAAAATTTGTACTTAGGAGTTACTCTGAAGGCCGAATCGCTGTAAAATATTTTCAAAATGGCCGCACTTCCGGAAACACCGGAAGTAGATAGTAACTTCGTTATTTTAAATGGCAACCCCTATTTTTTATTGCATTTTTGGATTCTACGTGAAATTTCACTTCTTTTGATACCCATATGTCTATATCTACCATTTATGGTTTTTAAGTTATTTTGACTGTAAGAAAAAAAATGGCGGATGCAGATGGTACCTTGATAATTGATTACTTGAAAACGGTTGTAGTCATGGCAACCTATTTTTATCAGTGCATAGAGAATTAATAAGGCTTTCTTTTAGTGCACTTAAAAAAAAGTTAAGTTGCGTACGACCGCCCCTATGGATATCCAAATTTATGAAACTTCAAAGACTAAAAACTTAGTTTTTTTAAATAGAATGACCATGTTCTTACTATTCCATGAGATAGAGAATCGAAATGGGCATATTTTGACAATACATGTTCCTATAGCTATCTTTAACAGTTTCTGACTTATTCCCATTTTATTGAATTGACACTATTTTTTCCGGATTTTCTTTTTAGTAGTCGGCCATGATTCTATAACAATTGAATTTTAAACAAATCTAGTGACACTAATCCATCACCCACTGTTATAGGTTAACATAAGTTTTCCAAAAATCGAAAAATGACTCGCAGTGGTTTCACCTATTTTGGAATTTAATTGTTATTTATGGTGAAATGGGCAGAATCGCGAAGCGTGCTTTCCGTACATTCATTCGAAAACTGGAACGAAATTGTATGAATTTTGGAAATTTTGTACCCCTAATGCACTACAAACCGTGGAAGCACAAGTGATACAAAGCTCTACAAGAGAATATTTAAGAAAATGAATTGAATTGCAAATGCAAGATTAACAAAATAAATTCAATGCAAAATATAAAAAACTTCGTTGAAACATTTTTGGTATGGAATTGTTGGTAGAACAGATATCGCATTACCTCTCTTAATTTCCAGACTGCTACGTTGTTTAAGAAATTCAGTTGAACGACTCTGTTTAGATTTTTCAAAAATTTTCCGTCCTATATCCTTAATAAATGAGTTATTTATTAATGAATTATTTAAAAGAAACTAGAATCAATGGTATTAAAGAATCCATTCCTTGATTTGTTTAAAATTCGATTGTTATAAAATCATGGCCAACTACTAAAAAGAAAATGCGAAAAAAAAATGGCATCAATTCCGAGATCAATTCAATGAAATGGGAATAAATCAGAAACTGTTAAAGATAGCTATAGGAACATGTAATATCAAAATATGCCAATTTCGATTCTCTATTTCATGCAATATTAAGAACATGGTCATTCCATTTAAAAAAACTGAGTTTATAGACTTTGAAGTTTCTTAAATTTGGATCTCCATAGGTGCGGTTGTACGCAACTTAACTTTTTTTAAGTGCACTAAAAGAAAGCCCTATTCATTCTCTATGCACTGATAAAAATGGGTTGCCATGACTATAACCTTTTTCAAGTAATCAATTATCAAGGTACCATCTGCATCCGCCATTTTTTTCTTAAAGTCAAAATAACTTAAAAACCATAAATGGTAGATATAGACATGTGGGTATCAAAAGAACTGAAATTTCACGTAGAATCCAAAAATGCAATAAAAAATAGGGGTTACCATTTAAAATAACGGAATTATCTACTTCCGGTGTTTCCGGAAGTGCGGACATTTTGAAAAAAACGTATTTTACTTTCCCAGAAACGTTTAAATAAAGCTCTCAAAAAAACACCCTGTATAAGCTGTTTCACGCAAACCGTTACCTAAAATTATTTAGACTTCCATTAATAATTTAAATCTGAAAATTTTCATACCAACATAGTTTTTTACGAAAGAAAATGTTATCATGATCGGTACAACCGGAAGTGAACTTTCTTATTTTAAATAGAACACCCTATATTTTATTACCTTTTCGAAATCTACATGAACATCTACGTCGTTTGATACCACATTTCCCTATACCTAGCATCAAAGGTTTTCAAGTTATTCGAGATTTTTCAAAATTTTTGACGTTTGACTGCTTTTTTTAGCGCCCTGTACCCATGGCTCCGTTGACTTGAATTTAAAAAAAGTCTTCCAAAATCAACAATACTGACGTGATGCTGCATGCGAATGATTTAAATTTTCATCGCCCTTCTACAGGGTGTTTTAAAATTAATGGTCAACATCGAACCTTAAAAAGTTGATTTTGTTCAAATGAAACGTGCTTTATTTTTTTGCACTTTCAAATGTGGAAAATGATTCTAAAATATGCATAATTTTCTTAGGAGGCCTTGAAATAAACGCGTTAGTAGATGTCATTGTACTTGTACCTACCATCCTTGGAAACATTACCTGAGAAAAGCTACTGGTTTTCAACTTGACGGAGCCCCGGCTCATTCTACCGATGATGCTACATAACATTTTTTGAATTCAGGTGGATTAGACCTGCAGATCCGCGCTATTGGTCTTCTAGATACCCCTTTATATCGCCACTGGACTGCAAGATAGGGTGAGAAGAGCTTTTGATGAAATGGAGTAGGAATTCGGGAGGCGACTATCAACGGAGTTAAGCGGAGGATGAAATTATGCATTGAAAAAAATGGTAGGCACGTAGAACAAAACCTCAATTAATGTTTGTTTTTATTTTGTCGTTTGTTATCATGGCCTGCTTCTGTTTTTGATTTCATCTTGATTTAAATTTGTATTGATTAATGTAAATAGGATTTTTTCGTAGTTAGTGATATAAACTACCATGAATAACGAATGATAACAATTATAACCATAAAAGGAGTTGTCTGATAGATGCGTCTACTTCAAGGCCTCCTAGGAAAATTATGCGTATAACGGTTACAATTTTAGAAAATCTTAAATAAAACGAAAGCCATTACAGATATGTGTAGGGAATGTAACAATTGATCGATGTAGAATTTTTTCCACATTTGAAAGTGCAAAAAAATAAAGCAGGTTCCATTTGAAAAAATCAACTTTTTAAGGTTCGCAGTTATTAAACTTGACCATTGATTTTAACACACCCTGTAGAAGGGCGATCAGAATTTAAACCATTCGCATGTAGTATCAC